CTTCCGATCTCCCCAAAACCCCAAAACCCCAAAACCCCTTAAGAACTATTTATCAAATTTGTGGATAGAATTATAATTTTAGAGTAATAAAAAGTTATTAGGTATAATGGAGGAAAAAGATGATCAAACATTGGTCTTAGAGTAGGCTAGGAAGGATTAAGAAGAAGGAGTTAAAAATCCTCATTTGAATATAGATGTGAATTTCGTTGCTCCAGCACCTAATCCAGAGTTAGTAGCAAAAAACAGATTTGTTTTGATAAGGCATGGAGTGACTGACTTTAATTGGCAATTCAGTGAGGTTGTTGGAAAGTATGGTTTCTCTTCTCTAGAATTTAGAGATCTAAAAGTAGATACTTAATACATTGACATCCAACTAAGAGAAGAAGGAGTGATACAATGTGAGAAATCATAAAGTCATGCAAGCTAGATCAACTTTAGGTACGTAATTGTGAGTTAAATGGTAAGAGCTTGCTAGACAGCCATTCATATCTTCAAGAACCATCCAAATAAGGATAAAATCAAGTTTATAGTAATCCCTCTGGTAAAGGAAGGGCTTAATACTGGAAATGACAAATGTGGAACTTATGAGAGAATGAGAAAGATCATTGATCCCTTAGTTACTGAGCACAACCTGCACTTTGATTTCTCAATGATGCATACATTTGGGCTACCAGATCTGATTCAGATTAAAGTCACAACAGAACTAGATAGACTCTAGGAATTTTATGAGTATATTAGTGAAGATGGCAAATGCGAAATTAATGGTCACAGTGAACAGCTACTTAAAATCACTTATGATAGGTTTCCCTATCGTTTGGAGGGTCCATACGAAATGTATGTGAGAGGCATTTAATTCAGGAAATTTTTGAAACACTTTATTAATAATCTTGACCTGAAAGAAGATGATAAAATAGCAGTAGTGAGTCACTCAGCCTTTTTATCAAGTTTATCTTGCAAAGGTTTTGATAGAGAAAAGCAGCTACTTGTTGAACCCGCATAGATATTTAACTGTTAATTTGTACCTTGGGAAACCTATGAGGAATATTTTTGATTTCATAATCTTATTCATTGAATTTATTGCTTCTAAAATGAAGTTTGCGGGGTTTTGGGGTTTTGGGGTTTTGGGG